CAAAAGCACAAACACATCTAACGAATGGAAAACAACTGTGAACTGTCATATTCCTGATATGGTACAGGCATGTCCTTATGTAGAAAATGGTGGATTAAACCTGGTTTTATAGCTAGCTAAACCTCTCACTTGTATGACAGTCGCATAGAATTACATTATATTGACAGTGTGTGAGCAAAACACACAGACATAATAGGTAAAAATGTCAAAAAATTGGGTACAGCAGTCAACATTGTAATATAAACGTTATCACTATAAAAACAAAGAACTGTTTCAATAAAGAAACACAAAAAGTACATAAGCAAAAATGAAAGACAAGAACTCAAAATTGACCATAGCACAATAACACAATGGCGGGATGTATAAGTACCGATCCACGTCATAAGTTTATAATCAAAAATGGATACACAGTAATGGTTAAAAATATACATGGACAAAAAAGATGATTAACAACGTCAGTTCCTAGAATCTAGACCATCATGTATTATTTATCAACAAGGTCTTGGCATCGTCCAATGAACTTTTTTAGAAACAGGACGAGACGTTCGCTGACATAATCCTGGCCCATCAAATTTCTGCTCAGACACTGGTGACGTTTTATAAAGTCTGGGTAGCAGCTGCAAACTCCTGAGTACCGAATGATTTGGGAAATATATATCACATATACAGTTGAAGTTTGTATATTGATGCTAAGGTGGGGAAAATTTATAATTTCAAAATTAAAATCGTCTCGCTTGTCATAGGTTCTGGCATTGAGATGACCACTTCAGTCAAATTCGAGGTATACGTCTAACAAGTTTTACTACAAGTATCACATAAACTTAACATGATCATAAAAAATGAGGTCAAGGTCAGATAAACCAAGCCAGAAATACATTTACACCATAAATTCATTCCATACACCAAATATAGTTGACCAATTGCTTATAGTATACAAGAAACAGATCAAACCATGAAAACTTTATACTGAGCAAAGAACCATGAAAATGAGATCAACGTCAGACGAACTCTTCCAGACAGACATGTACACCTAACAATCATTATATGCAAAATATATAGTTGACCTATTGCACATAATATCTAAGAAACAAACTTAACCTGGAAAACTTAACATTGATCAATGAACCATGAAAAAGGGGGTCAAGGTCAGATAACTGCCAGACAGACATTTACGCCTTACAATCATCCCATACACCAAATTTAATAGTTTACCTATTGCTTATAGTTTAATAAAAGCTGACCAAAACACATAAACTTAACATTGAGCAACGAACCATGAAAATGAGATCAAGTTCAGATGACACCTGCCAGTTGGCCACGATAACTTAACCTTGCTCACTGATCCATGGAATGAGGTCGAGGTCAAGCGAAAACTGTCTGACAGGCATGAGGACCTTGCAAGGTACGCACATACCAAATATAGTTATCCTATTACTCATAAGGGAGATATTAAGAATAATAAATGTCTTAACTTTGTTTTCAAGCAGTCACTGAACCATGAAAATGAGGTCAAGGACAATGGACATATGACAGACGGAAACTTCATAACATAAGGCATCTATATACAAAGTATGAAGGATCCAAGTCTTCTATCTTTTGAAATATTAAGCTTTTGAGAAGTTTGTTAACGCCGCCGTCGGATCATTATCCCTATGTCTCGCTTTCTGCGACAGAAGACGCAGGCTCGACAAAAATGAGGCGGAGGGAGCCGTGTCTGCTGTTTCTTTAATTTCTAGTTCTGGAGGATATATTAATGGAACCTTATCAGAAAAGGTTGGATTGTTAATGGAAAGAACATCATCAATATATCTGAATTTGAAATTAAATGATCGGGCTTCTTTGATTTTCTTGTTTTTGACAAGTGTCTGAAGGAACTCCGACTCATATGAAAATAAGAAGAGATTGGCAAGGAGAAGCGCACAGTTCATTCCAATAGGAATGCCGAGAACTTGCTGAAAAAGTCTACCTTCAAATTCAACAAATATGTTGTCAATGAGAAACTCCAGCATACTGATCACTTGTTCCCCTGCGTAGCATGTTTTACCTTTTTGTTCACTATTAACAAAATATGCCGTATGGTATCACAAAGCAATAAATTTATAGCGTATGCTACAATTTTTATATTCAAAAGCATTGTTGATTATTTCTTTTAGACGATTTTTCAATTGCACATGGGGAATGGTGGTATACAGGGTTGAAAAATCAAAAGTTTTGATAGAATTAATTTCAGAGAAAGATCGAGATTTTAAATGATCTAGTTCGATTTTTTTAGAATCCATATATGGTTAATACCACTACGCGAGTAAACAGTTTCACAGCATTTCTGAAGACCTCTTCTACTTTTCAAGTAGCTCTGTAGTCCCACTTGTAGCAATAATCCTTTTCTCTATTCCTCATAGTTTATGACGGATCATCAAATTTTTACTTCAAATGAGCAAATGAAGCAGTAAATAAAATCACTAATAGATAACAGGATTAAATTGTGGGCGCCATGTTACGTCTTGAAAAGACTCATCAGTGACACAAAACAAAGTTAAAAAGGCCAAAATATAGTACGAAGTTGAAGACCATTGAGGACCCGAAATTCCGAAAGGTGTTGCCAAATGCAGCTAAGGTTTTCTATTCCTGTAGTAACATCTACACTTTTGAATCCTGGTTTAAACACATAGTTGTTGGTTGGGATTTTGTTGCTCAATTTTTATTTTTCTGTGTCAATTTTTTTGTTGACGAATGTTATCCATTCGTCTTTTTCCTCTTTGAAATTGTGCAGTCTTGTTCTCTTGTTTATCTGGGGATTATTTCTAAATTTGTAATGGTCCTACTTAAACCATCCAGATGCTATGTAGGACTTTTAATACACCCTTTCTGACAGACCAACGTGACATCATCTGCCTTTTTTGCACAGATATAAATTAATGTGAATCTACCTTGTTTTCACTCTAATGTTTGTCTGCTTACACCTGGACCCTTTGATATTGTATCATACTTTTCTTTACTACCGCCATATATGATGAGGCGACTCCTTATCATTTAACTCGCAAAGTTAAATTTGCCAAATTATTATTTTCACTTTAACCAATTGAATTTGTCCAAAAGCAAACTTATAATATTACTATATGAAAATTGCTAACAGATCCAAATGAAGCAATTATGACCGTAAGAGGATGAACGACGGCTGCTAAAAGTACAGTGGCAAATTAAGTACATATTCAGGACGATATATGAGGATTGCTTTGTACTAGAACTACATGATGAAGTGTTTTTTTTTAATGTTCAAGTTAACAAGGTAGCATACAACAAGAACACAGGACACATTTTCCAGATTGCAGTGTGCTTAGTGAAGAAGTAGCAAATACCAATTTTTAATAAGTGTTACCTAGCCAGAGATCGAACATATGGACTAGATCCAAGAACACAACAAAGAGACCACCTATGCTGTTAATGACCATAGATGAATAAGTTGTAGAATGACAGTATTTAATCTCATAAAATGTAAAGTTGATAATTAAATAACAACCCAGGAATACAGAAAAAAATAATTTACAAAATCCCGAGAAACGTTCGTTAAAATTTAATAATTTTTCTAATTGATTTCAGCATAAACATGATAAATAGATAATTTTAACCTCTAATACCAATAAAATCAATAAAATAACATTAATAATGCAGAAAGAATCTTCATTATTTTCTACAATTTGTCCACAAAAAGATTATCATGCATATCTTTACAGAAAACATCTCAAAACAAGCCTTGACAATTGTTTATCCTTCAATAATTCATATTTGTGTACTGGTATGTTAGCATGAATTTTCTAAAGTGTTATTTTCATTTTTAGTCTTAGATATAAATATGTAAATATATATGTACAATAAATAATATTCTGCATAAATTAGGTGAACACCAATCACTCAGGATATCACAGTAGCACAAGTAATGGGTTCAAACTGAAGCTAGACATTTAGTGCTTCTTTGTAATTACACTCCAAACAAAAATAAACTTTCTCATATCATTGCTACTAAAGTTGACGAGAAATGTGTGACTAAATAAATTACTTTCTCTTCCTTTAAACCCCATCTTACAGTTGTGTGTTACAAAATGAAATACTTTTAAGATTTCCTTTCTATTCCAAGGGAAGGACAGTGGCTCTCACCATTCTCTATGATATGTCAAGTTTGATGAATGTGGTGTTAAACACCAACCATCAATCAATAATCTAGTCCAATAAAAAGTTTATACTAATATCCTGTCTTAAATATGTGTCCCTAACAATAGTTTTGTCAATTGCCATTTTAATTTTTACTAAATTAATTAAGGCAAGAGTAGTTTTCAAATGTTCAAGGACAGGAAAACACAGGCAATATGAAGGGTAGACATGGTTTCTTGTTTTTAATATGTAAGTCTTCAAATTGTAGTATGGACTTTCCATTGGCGTTATCTGTAAATTCAGAAATAATAGTGAGGTCAGCAACAATGTGACTGAATGAGTATTGCATAATTAGAACTGGCATTCTGATAACTGATACATATATCTGTATGCAGCTTTTCCTTAAATCTCAATTATTAATCTTGCATTTTTGTTAATTCTTAAAAATCGCAATTATAAATGCAAGGATTAAGTTCTGAGTTTAGTGTCTATGTAAAATAAACACTCCCATGTTTTACAAAGAATAAGACAGTTTACAGAGCTAACTTTAGAAATAGATAATCTAGTAAGCTGGATACATCATAAATAATGTCTATAAAGACAAAAAAGATTTCTTCCTTCCATATAAAATAAATTTCATTTGACTATATCTTTTTTACTATCTATTGAAAACAAAAAATTATTTAGTAACTACCCTGAAATGAAAACAAAAATAATCATTCAAATCCGAGCTGATGAAAATGTGATACTTTTCTTTTCAAAAACAAAGGTTTAAAAAATATGATAAAAAATCCTACATCATCACAGCTACAACATTCAAACTAGCTCCAATATAAACTAAGAAACCAATGCAGTAAGATAGAAGTTTTTATTACATGTCATAGTTCTAAATATCAAACACACCTTCATATACATACTAATCAAACACACCAATATACTACTCAATCGCTCCAACTCTTATTTATTGAGATCAAATATAGCATTTTAAATATTTTCACGTTTTTTTTAATGAAGAAGGACAACATTTGTGTAAAAAAATTAATTCTGCCACATCTGTTGAAAAATTTAGAATGTCTAAAACACCGATTTGTTTTTTCTTTCCCTTACATCTTTTATTACTAATTAGTCCTGCAAAAAGTCTGTCATAAACTTGCAGGATAAGTAACTATCAACATATTTTTCACAAAGAGCTAACAATGGTTCATACTTTTTAATGCATCACTTCTTAGTTATAACATGACAATAAATAACTTTATAGTACAGTATGCTGTAATGACAATTAATAAATCCATTTTTATTATGCAAAAAAAACCAATTGTTTTTTTCTGTGGTCCCAAACTGAGCTGATAGTCTGAAAAAAGTTTCCTTTCTTTCTGCTTTCCTTTATATTGTACATGGATATAAATTTGAAGCATGATGCACATATAAATATAAATTAACACAAATTAGCACTACGATGTAGCTGCTGCTTCCGCCACAGGTACATTTTGTCCAGTGGCTGCCACCGTGGATTGTGCCACATCACTCCCTAATGTATTGCCACCAGCAGATCCTGCATCGTTCGGTAACATAGAATCACCTTGTGATGGTGTTGGCAGAGTAAAGTTTGTAGGCATATTAGGTAATGGAGCTGGAGCTGGCATTGGGAAACCTGCCGGTAATGTCACACCACTAGCTGTTCCACCTAGAAATAAATCAAAGCATGTAAACACAGTCTAGTCAATGTTTTTGATAATTTTAGTTTTAGTCATTCTAAAATATATAAAACAAAATTTCATAGATTTAGTATTAGTTGATTACAGGAAAAAAATACACAAAAAGCTACTGTAAAGTGGGAAGGGATGTATTCATTGATTTGGCTATTAAGATTAAATCACTAAAATATACCCACAATGAATTTGATCTCTAAAAGAGGAATAGAATCAGGTAAAAGATAAGCAAACAAATGCAACATGGCAATCATTATTTACTATTATTATTCTTTTTGTTCACAACTTTGTAGACAGTTTGACATTGTATAGACATCTGTCCATTTTTGCAGCTGTTAATTTAGCTCCAGTTATATATGTTAACCACAAAAAATTTGTTTATCTAAATACAGTTTAAATGGTGTACAAAAGAATGAATACCTGGTAATGTACTTGAGAACGATGACAAGGGGGGTAACTGCCCAGGAGGCATCCCCGCTATTGAGATAGGTGTTGTTAATGGTGGCATTGACATATTCCCTAAATTAGGCATGGTTGGTAGTGGAAAATCTGAAATATAAAAAATAACTTAATTTACAAAAGAGTACATACATATATTTAACATAATGCAATCTTAAAAAATTTGCAAAAAAATCCAATAAATGTTAACAGTTGAAATCCATAAATCAGGAAATTTAAAAAATTTATAGACGCATATATGAGCATGGTTAAACTTTTTTTCCACAAGATTTGTTTATCATGTGGACAACAAACAGACAGAAGAGCAAACAAAAGTTTCCCATAAAAAGTTGTTTGTGTAACAGGAGTATAAAACACTCTATTGACTTATTAAACTGTTGACACAATATATGTCTCACCTAAATTTAATTTTGATAGTAAAATGATAATGTTGAAATAAAATTAGCAATTCTTTAACATGTTAAATATGCACAATAATCAGTCAATGAACCATTACTGAACGAACAAGACCATATAATTACTTCAAACTTGAGGTGAAGGTCAGATTATACCTACTTGATGGAATGGCTGCAACACTTGCTGTCAAGTTGGGGAAAGGTTGTAATGGAACCACGCTCACTTGATTTTGAGGTGAAGGTCAGATAATACCTGCTTGATGGAATTGCTGCACCACTTGCTGTAAAGTTAGGGAGAGGTTGTAATGGAACCCTGCCTTCTTGATTTTAAGGTGGTAAGACTATACCTACTTGATGGAATAGCTGCTCCACTTGCTGTTAAGTTAGGGAGAGGTTGTAATGGAACCCCGCCCACTTGATTTTAAGGTGAAGGTCAGACTATACCTACTTGATGGAATGGCTGCACCACTTGCTGTAAAGTTGGGAAGAGGTTGTAATGGAACCCCTCCCACTTGATTTTGAGCTGTTGGTAATACAGGTATTGTTGGTGTTCCTACAAAAAAACAAGCATAATTATTTTATGACCAAACACATTTATTTTTAAGAAATCCTATCTAAAAATAAATCTTATTCTTCCCAAGTATTTCACCAGCAATAATTTCCAATGTCACTTTTGGTTTGGTTTTAAGTTCAATCTGTTGAATCATAAGTAACAAACATTCCGATGCAAGTCTGTTTAATCGAAAACATTTTCCGAACAGATGTGGCTGCCTCAGGTAACCTCCTGTAGAATCCTGCTTTCCAAACCATAATTTGTCTTTTCTTAATTTAGTGGTTCTCCTGATTGTAGCATAACTGTGCAGATTTTTCTTTACACATTTTATGTTTACAACAAATATCCTTGATAGGCAAAGGAGGAGGTCACTTATGGGGGCACCAAACACTTTGACTAAAATAGATTTGGCTCGTTTAATTTTCGTTTAAATTTTGACAGGATATTTACTGTTGACAAAAATATAACCATTTCAAGAAATTTGAACCACACAATTTACAGGAATAATTTCATTGGATATACAGCAGTTTGACAAACAATAATTTTGATCATTGAGAAGCTTGATTTTAATTATAGGGCTATTCCATTAAAATGTATGTGGGAGGGTAGGAAGGGACTTTCAAAATATCCCTACAACCAAGAACCTTTTTTTAGATAATTTTGCATAATGGTAATAGACGCATACTGAAAAAAGACCCATGACCCACATTCAATAATTAAACTTCCCTTCCTACTCTCCCACATACATTTTAATGGTATAGCTCTTACTAATAGTATGTGATTAAAATGTTCAGCTGATCTTTTAAAGAGTTAACTCTCTTAGGTGTTCTGTACCCCTTAAAACTGTTTTCAACCTCACCACATTTTGTACTTGTACCAACATGACAGAGTCAGACTTAAATGGACCATGTGTTGTTCCTTGTTGACCTCAGTGTTGGAAGTTAAGGTGGTTTGTTATACTAATAATTTGTACTCCTGTTGTACTGTTGAATTTTAATGATCCCATCCTACAAAGTTTTAATAGTGGTATGTTTGAATTGGTTGAGAAATGGGATGTGCTTTTCAATTGGAGACCTTATATTACCCTCTTGTCTTTTGGATTTGCTGTTATTGACATTTACTCGACTTCATTTTAGTTATAGAGAACCAATCAACTATTAAAGTGTTGCTTAAACTTCTAAAAAACCAAACAATTCAATAGTAAATAAAAGTACAGTACTTTTAAACAATTCAATAGTAAATAAAAGTACAGTACTTTTAAACAATTCAATAGCAAATAAAAGTACAGTACTTTTAAACAATTCAATAGTAAATAAAAGTACAGTACTTTTAAACAATTCAATAGTAAATAAAAGTACAGCAGCCGGTTGTACGAACGTGTCATTAGTCTAATGAGTCATTAAGTCTTCATTAGCCTAGTGCATCATAAAGGCTTAATGAAGACTTAATGACCCATTAGGCTAATGTCACGTTCGTACAACCGGCTGCTGTACTTTTAAACAATTCAATAGTAAATAAAAGTACAGTACTTTTAAACAATTCAATAGTAAATAAAAGTACAGTACTTTTAAACAATTCAATCATCTATATAAACCAGCAGCACAAACCAGGTTTATAATAAAACTGTTCTAGATTGAGGGACAATATCTACCTGTATTTAATGATATATTTGTTATCCCAGCTGTTAAATCTGTACCTTGTAAAGGTGAACTAGATAAATTAACCTGAAAATAAATCAAGTAGAATGATCTTATATCAATAATGTCCAATACCATCCTTCCAACTTACCTCCCCTTAATTTTCATGTTTCCCTATCATATTTTATAGACATTTTTGGTTAAGCACTGCTCTAGTTCAAAAAATTTGTGTATGTAATTAATGTACAAAATATAATGAATTTAACAACCTACTTATCCTTTCTTTTTGACCCCAGGAGGCAGGAAAAAAGTAACTTGATGTATATTTTTGGCAGATCATGCTAGGAGAAACATCATATAAGTGATTACTTATATCATTTTAGGATTCATTTTCATAAAATAGACTCTTTTATAAGGTACCCTTAGAAATTGATTCTGCAAAGTGTTGCTAATTCAATTTTGATTTTGTCCTAGTTTGAAATGTTCTTTTTTCTATCACTTCTCTAGGACCATTTTGAAGATCAACTTTATTTTCCCTTTATGGTGGCCACCTATGTTTAAGAGACCGGAATATAATTCCTTCCCTTTCTTTCAGCCAAAATGCAATGTTCAAAAAAAGTTATTAAAGAGCAATAACTCCAAACTAGAACATTGACTGAACCCTCAAAGCTATTAGTTTAAAATATAAATGTCTTTAGGAGTCAATAAAAATTTACAAAAGGACATTCAGCAAAAGCTATCTTAGTTTTCTAGGAGAGTAATATCCCTTTATGAGCATCCTAATTCAAGAATAAAATCAGTTCAAACCAGTTAGTTGTGCTTACGAAAGAATATTACAAAATTTTGGAATACTGAAGTAAATAAATTTATTTTGCAATATTGATTTAAATAAATTTGACTATCTCCCCTTTAACATGACCGATCATTTTTCTTTATTTACATCCTCATGATCATTTAGTGTTCTACAATTGATTAAAGTTTAATTAATATCCATCCGTTTGAGATGTGCTTACATGGAAAATGTATAGACAGAAGGTAAATATTGAATTATTGATTATCTCCCCTTTAACATGTTGGATTATTGATTATCTCCCCTTTTTTCTAACAAGAAATATGAACGTATGAACTGGAAGTTTGGTTCCTATAACCCCATCCCCGACTTTGCTTGCAGAGGGTATAAAAACAGGGCATTATGAGTTTTAACATGTGACTTATTTGTTTTTATTGATCTTATTATTTCTGTTGTTCAGATTTTCAATCTAACGGTTGGTCTATAATCAAATGTGTTGTGAGCATGGGAGGCATTTTCTAAGACCCCAAACACCCATAATATAAACATTTTTATTTAACTTTAGATCTAATTATAAATCTTACAAAATTTTACGGAAACATGCAATCCCCAACAAATAATTTGTGTGCCTCCCATCACTCACCGAGATCAATTTTGGAACAGCCCTATTGGAAGAGTGAATGGTCTGAATTTAATCAGAATGCTGTATAATCTTTACCTCAGCAAAACCATCAGGTGTTTTGTGTGGATCTGGTACTATTACTGATTCATTTAATGATTTTAGAGGATTTGAACTTGGAAACTGTCGCTTAGGTATCCTGTGTAGATATCCGTATCCTATCCCACAACCAAGGCTGGAAAAGACAAATACTGTATCATATCATTTGAAACAGAAAATACATTATTATATTATCCCACAACCAAGGCTGGAAAAGAAACACATCAAATTCTGTATCATTTCATTTGAAACAGAAAATACATTATTTTTCAGTATAAAAGTATGCAAAGTTATGATGCACATTAAATGTTCTAACCAATATAAGAATTGTAATAAATACTAGTTGATGGTTAATATAGTGATTAAATAACTATATCAGTAATCATCGTGTTTATCAAATGGAAGGAAATCATCTTATTTCTAATTTTATGACCAGAAAAAGTGTTTGAATGTAACAGTAACTGATAATAGTTTCACTCCTATAATTTTTCATGATATCATTTTCCATTTCACAATTAATTGTCTAATTTGATGATGACAATTTCACGCATGAGTATAACATAGAAATTTTTCATGCATGAATATTACATAGAAATTAAACATGTTAATTGGCTCTCGAAAAAATTACATTTTTCTACCTATTCAATAAAAGTTTAATTTTTAAAAGAGAACAGGAAATTGTCTTTGCTGATATCATGAAGTAAGTTATCATGGAATTAAATTCAATTATAATAGTAGTTCTGAGCTTGATCACTACCGTCAGATGTGAAAAACACAGGTTAAAAGAGATTATCTTTTATAAGCCAGTATCACACAGTTGGATTCATATGGTATTTAGGAGGACCCTCAGGGTTATCATTATTATGATTATATACTTAAGTGGCAGTTAAATTACAGGAAACACAATTCAAAATAAAAATAATAAGCATTCTGGGAGTATTGCATGGCAATACATAGTTCCCTACCGGGTAAAAATTCATTTTACTGGAACAAAATGCTAACTTGTTCTATAACTTGTCATGGTGTAAACAAAAAGTAAATATCATGTCAATATCTTCAAGCATGACTAAAAACAGTGTGGAAAACTGATTATATAAGTGAAAAAAACATTAGATATGATCAATAGTTCTCTAAAATTAGATATGATGTAATACAGTGTATATCTATTTTCAAATTATAATCAAATATAATTAATAGTTCCAAATATTTTTTCTTTCATTTGTCATAAACTAATATAGATTTGTAACTTATCTATAAAATGTCAACAACTTTTATCTACGCAATCTAATGTATTGAAATATATACATTAATAAAAATAGATTATTATCTAATTAAAGGATTTCTCTTCATATTTTTTTTATATATATAAAGCATTCAGAAAATTAGTTTATACTAAATAACAAACAAACCTGCCAACAAATTCTTCAAATAATTCAACAAAGAATGTCTTTTAAAAATGAGTTATCTCCCTTTGTACAGAAATATGGTTTAACATAGTACTCTAACATAAGATATGGTCCAGAGTTATGGTCCATAACTCTGGACTAAATCATCAGACCGGAACAAAATTCGAACTTGATCTATAACTTGTCATGATAAAACTATATATACCAAATATCAAATCAATATCTTAAAGAACGAAGAAGAAAAGTGTGGAAAGCTGATTTGCCGGACTGACAGATGGACAGACAGACAGATGGACAGAGGGACAGACTGACGGAGTGTAAACCTAAAGTCCCCTCGACTTCGTCGGTAGGCGACTAATAAGTGAAAAATGGGGATTAAGAAGCCGGATCCATGTGCATGATGTGATCTCAATGAAATGAATGTAATTATTTCTGTAAAATAAAACTTTCTTGACCTTAACCCCAATCCACAATTTCTAGCAATGACCTTTCAGTTTAGGTCATGTCTGGCAAATGTGACTGTTTCCAGACTCTTGCTCCTGACTTGAAATTTTTGTAACTAGACCTTAAGCAAATGTCAGACAACAATCAATCAATTCATCATCAAATATTGAAACTTTCCTTGACTTACCTTCCGTCCCCTCCCCAGGCTCCATTAGGTGTAATTGTAACTTCTCTACATGAATCACTATCTGTATTGTACATCCTTGACTTACCTTCAGTCCCCTCCCCATGCTCCATTAGGTGTAATTGTAACTTCTCTACATGCATCACCATCTGTATTATACATCCCTGACTTACCTTCCGTCCCCTCCCCAGGCTCCATTAGGTGTAATTGTAACTTCTCTGCATGCATCACTATCTGTATTGTACATCCTTGACTTACCTTCCATCCCCTCCCCAGGCTCCATTAGGTGTAATTGTAACTTCTCTACATGCAACACTATCTGTATTGTACATCCTTGACTTACCTTCCGTCCCCTCCCCAGGCTCCATTAGGTGTAATTGTAACTTCTCTACATGCATCACCATCTGTATTATACATCCTTGACTTACCTTCCGTCCCCTCCCCAGGCTCCATTAGGTGTAATTGTAACTTCTCTGCATGCAACACCATCTGTATTGTACATCCTTGACTTACCTTCCGTCCCCTCCCCAGGCTCCATTAGGTGTAATTGTAACTTCTCTACATGCAACACTATCTGTATTGTACATCCTTGACTTACCTTCCATCCCCTCCCCAGGCTCCATTAGGTGTAATTGTAACTTCTCTACATGCATCACTATCTGTATTGTACACATATAATCTCAATGGTTTTCCTTCATGGTTTTCTATTAAGGTGAACAAATCCTCTGTCTGAAAAGTAAGTATGAACAAAGATAAAATTTGCTTAGGTCTAAGAAAATGTAAAAAATTGTCCAAAGCATTTCTTGATACTTTCATTTTAGGAATAACAGTACTGAAGTTGAAGAGTTGCAGCCATCAATTAGGGAATTGATGGTCACAAATGCAGTTTTACTGGCGAGGATATTTGCGACCATAAAATCAAAGTTGATCGCATCAACTCTTTAACTACAGTACTGTTATTCCTATTCTAATGCATTACAAAAAGAAATAATACGTAAGAGCTTTTAAAATGTATAAATTTAAGATAAAAGAAAATATTGCAAAACTTTTTGATTTTGGATAATATCTCTGAAATAAATGGTGATGCTGTATTCTTGATATTCCAAACAATATTGTAATATAGGTTCTTATTTTTGTACTTTCAGTGTCTTTAAAAATTACTTTTGGCAAAGGGGTTAAATTCTCACATGAGAACAATAATTGCCTTCTCCACATCAATAATTGTTGATTTGTACAAGATATTTTCTTTCATTTTATGTGGTATTGAAATAAGCCATAATGAACCCTGAACAAAACTTTCAACATTTAACATGTTTAAAGTATCAAGAGTGCAGTTTTTGTCTGTTCTCAAACTTGTCCCATAACTATTATCTGAATAAGATATCAAATGTCTGTATACATTTTCATTTATATATAAACATAGTGTAGGAGAAAAGCAGTCAATAAAGCCACAAGGTGACCTTTAGTCGGTTGTGTCCACGTCATTTAGTCTTTGATGGAGAGTTGTCTCATTGGCAATCATACCACGTCTTCTTATTTTTAAATATTCCAGTACCTCCACTCTGCAGACATGAGATATGCTGTCTGTGAGTTGGCACACCAAGGCATCAGATTTTAATGATTTGGGTGGTACAAAACATGGTACAAAACATGGTTTTAGAGTATGTGAGCTAGATAGGTTTCCAGTGAATGTATTCTACAAACAGATTGATAAGGTGTATCATTGTTTGTTTTAATCATGTTTATATGAACGAAGCTTGAGAAACAAACAAAGAGCAAACTCACTGAGCATTTCTAAATTATTGTAAACCAACTAATTTTCGAAAGCAATTTATTTTCACAACTTTCGCAAGTAGAAAAATAATGTGAATAGAAATCGTCATGAATATGGAAAACTTGGATCTTTCCTTAATTAACTACATGAAGTAAATTTGAAAATTGTGAAATTAAATTACTGCGAAGTGGACTAGAAAGAGCTAAACGCAAAATTGAGTATCAGCAAAAATAAATTAGTTTACAATACTTGTATATTGAACATACTGAAATAATAGTAAATACAAATTGCAATATATATATATAATATGATAAATCATTTGATGAGTTTAATAAAATGATTAATGCAAGGTTATGCCTTTATAGCCATTAAAGACTGACATTAAAACACACTCCCTAACAAAAATTATTCCAAAAGGGATTTCATGTGATTTTAAGTGACTCATTTATAACAATGCTTCTACACTATGCTAGTCCTGCATATGGTATAAAGAGCAAATAAATATCGAAATATGTTTCTACCGGTGAAGTAGAGAAAAAACAGATCACAAAAACACATATCTATGGATTTCAACAAGATTTGGTTTGTTTAAAATTGTGAAAAAACAGAAAATTGCTAAAATTCTGACAGCATTTTTAAAATCTTATAACAGAAACAATCCATGTATATTCCTTCCTCTTAGAGAAATGTAAAAGTAAATCCAATGGGCATTTCACATCTAGTGGTAATGTTTTGGCTAAAACAGCTATATAAAGATATATCTAAAGCAAAACCAAATCCACCCGAGTGTCTACATCATATCATAACATAGTCAAGTACTACTGATTGATAAGGACTAAAAATATTGAAAATAAAAGAAGGTGTCTGAGGACACGAATGCCCCCGCTCAAACTTGCTTATAATATGTGAAAATACTTTATGAACAGACAGACAGAAGGTCCAGGGTAACACTTAATGACCCCTTTGCCTTGCGGCGGGGGCATGAACATGCACTGACAGCAAGATCCAATGAAATTTATACCGAGTTATATTTCCTTACTATGCTCTGTACTGAACATATACCTATATTTATGCAATAACAATTACATGCACATGTGAATAAATGAATAATTTCAATAAAGGGCTAGTAGAAAATATTTAATTCATCTTGGGTTTGTCAGGGATCATGTCTTGTTGATTTATGTATATTTTGTACACAACATAATAAATTACATGTGTTTAGTCTTGCAGAGTATAATGTATCTGTCTCTACAATAAACAGCTGCGCCATGAGCGCATGATACGCCCGTCGTCTTGTGTGTGAATTTTTATGCAATAAGCATAAATAGTTTCTGACATACGGCGTGACATGCGAAAACCCCCTTTTTTTTTTTACAAAAAACTCAATATCTCTAAAATAAAATTTTGAATCAAAACCAAAAAGTATACAGATCTTAAGATTAATATAACTTAGAAGTGTGTAAAATTTTAAGCAATAATCATGAATCATCTTTGAGATATGGCGCGACATGTAAAACACCCCCCCCCCCTCTTAAAAAAAAAACTCAATATCTCAAAAATAAAATTTTGAATCAAAACCAAAAAGTATACAGATCTTAAGATTAATATAACTAAGAAGTGTGTTAAATTTTAAGCAATAATCATAAATCGTTTTTGAGATACGGCGCGACATGTGAAAAACCCCTCCCCTTTTTTACAAAATACTCAATAACTCAAAAATAAAATTTTGAATCATCACCAAAAAGTATACAGATCTTAAGGTTAATATAACTAAGAAGTGTGTAAAGTTTTAAGCAACAAGAAATGATTGTAACAGGATGCTGTTACGAAGTCTCCCAAACGAAGCTCCCATAATTCGTAATTCCCAGGGTCGCCTGACATTGGGCAACGTCCAGTGAAAATTGGTTTGGTCCAGTAAAGTTATATGCATTAGTGATGCCTGGGGACTAACCATGTATATCATTCAAATCATCTTGGCATGACAAACCAGAATATATATGGTTTAGGGGTGGGGATCTCGACCATTTACAAGATACTAGAACATTGGGGGTGGGGAGGAACCCCTGGGGACTGGCCCTATACGTCATTCAAATGTTCATTACATGACGAACAGGAATATATATGGTTTAGGGGTGGCGATCTCAACCATTTACAAGATATTAGAACATTGGGGGTGGGGGGAACCCCTGGGGACTGACCGTATACGTCATTCAAATGTTCGAGACATGACAAATAGGAATATATATGGTTTAGGGGTGGGGATCTCGACCATTTACAAGATATTAGAACTTTCTCAAATGGCAGGGGGTCAGGATGACCCCTGGGGACTAACCCTGTATATCATTCAAACCATCTTCGCATGACAAACCAGAATATATATGGTTTAGGGGTGGGGATCTTGACCACTTAGAAGATATTAGAACTTTCTTAAATGGCAGGGGGTGGGGGTGACCCCTGGAGACTAACCCTGTATTTCATTTGATGTGCTTTATCATGACAAACCAGAATATATATGGTTTAGGGGTGGGGATCTCGACCATTTAAAAGATATTAGAACTTTCTCAAATGGCAGGGGGTCGGGATGACCCCTGGGGACTTACCCGGTATATCATTCAAACCATCTCAGCATGACAAACCAGAATATATATGGTTTAGGGGTGGGGATCTTGACCACTTACAAGATATTAGAACTTTCTAAAATGGCAGGGGGTCGGGATGACCCCTGGGGACTAACCCTGTATATCATTCAAACCATCTTAGCATGACAAACCAGAATATATATGGTTTAGGGGTGGGGATCTTGACCACTTTCAAGATGTTAGAACTTTCTTAAATGGCAGGGGTTGGGGGTAACCCCTGGGGACTAACCCTGTATTTCATTTGATGTGCTTTATCATGACAAACCAGAATATATATGGTTTAGGGGTGGGGATCTCGACCATTTACAAGATATTAGAACTTTCTCAAATGGCAGGGGGTCGGGATGACCCCTGGGGACTAACCCTGTATATCATTCAAACCATCTTAGCATGACAAACCAGAATATATATGGTTTAGGGGTGGGGATCTTGACCACTTAGAAAGATATTAGAACTTTCTTAAATGGCAGGGGGTGGGGGGTGACCCCTGGGGACTAACCCTGTATTACATTTGATGTGCTTTATCATGACAAACCAGAATATATATGGTTTAGGGGTGGGGATCTCGACCATTTACAAGATATTAGAACTTTCTCAAATGGCAGGGGGTCGGGATGACCCCTGGGGACTAACCCTGTATATCATTCAAACCATCTTAGCATGACAAACCAGAATATATATGGTTTAGGGGTGGGGATCTTGACCACTTACAAGGTATTAGAACTTTCTTAAATGGCAGGGGGTGGGGGTGACCCCTGGGGACTAACCCTGTATTTCATTTAATGGGCTTTATCATTTAGAACATTTTCAATTAAAAAGTTTGTGTCTATCACGAACGGTTTTCAATTTATAATCATTTGAAAATTTTAAAAAATAAAATCCCATAGGGTTCTATAGTAAAACCCTCTTTTCTTTTTGCCCCTCAAAGTACCCCTTTATAAACCCCATTGCAAAAACAAAACCCTGATTGCACCACTAGACATGTTAGTCTAACATATTGTGAAACCCTAAGTTAATCTGACCAGCGGTTTTGGAGAACGGGTGCGGACAAGTTCAAATTTAAAAGCGGCGGAAGAAGAAGAAGAAGAAGAAGAAGAATAATAATAATAATAAGAACTGAGCAAAAACAATAAGTCTTCCCAAACTTCGTTTGGGAGACTTAATAATCATAAACAGTTTTTGAGATACGGCGCGACATGTGAAAAACCCCTCCCCCTTTTTTAACAAAATACTCAATATCTCTAAAATAAAATTTTGAATCATCACCAAAAAGTATACAGATCTTAAGATTAATATAACTAAGAAGTGTGTAAAGTTTTAAGCAATAATCATAAATTGTTTTTGAGATACGGCACGACATGTGAAAAAAAACACACACCTGTTTTAGTTACTAAGTCCCGTAACTCAAAAAGTTTTAATCTTATTTTCACCAAAAAGTATACAGATCGTTTGACCATCATAAGAAACAACTATGTAAAGTTTCATGAAATTTGGATAAGTCATTCTCAAGTTACGGTGCGACATGTTTACGCCGGACAGACAGACGGACAGACGCCGGACATTTGTATACCATAATATGTCCCGTCAAAAATTTGACAGGCGTATTAAAACTTTGTGACTGCTAAGCCTTATAATTCAATCTGTCAAACTATTTTTCAATTCTTTTGACTGAAAAGGCCTCCTTTCAGGAAAATTTTACTCTTCCGACTACATTTTTACTGGCCTTAGCCATTGGGGTTGGGGTTAATCACGCAGGCTATATCTTTACTAATCAGAATGATGAAACCTTATTTTTGCAGGACTTGTAATGGTTTATATTGTTTTATATGACTATATCTTGGGAGTAGACTTAAGATGTAAGTTTTGGATGACCAAAAGTCACAATTAAGTTGTTATATGATTTAGATACCCACTGGACAGGTTGTGTTATAAATAGTACACTATGTATTTTTTTTGTTATGGTTGCATTTTACCTTTCTTTCATTATCATTAAATTGTACCGGGGGAAACTACAATCATAAAAATAAGGAAATGAAGATAATGGATACAACTTAAGGAAGTTTGCTGCTGAAATTTAATAAGGTTTAAAAATAGAATACATGTGCATCATTATTAAAAGATAATCTAAAAGGATCAAATTTAAATAAAAATTAAAAATAAGATATTATATATACTAGTATCTTAGACAAATCTGCAATATTTGAAAATATTAAGGAAAATTTAAAGCATTAGATTAGAAGTAAATATCCTTTAAAGGTAAAATCACCCAAACAGAAAATACACATCTCAATTAAAAAAGGGGAAAAAAGTACCTCACATTTATTTCATGCATCAATGTTAGGTGGCATTTTGATAAAAACTCACCTAGTTATCAAAATATTATAAGAAGTAAGATTTAGTAATGAAATGTGTTAAAACTTCTCCCAATTTTGTGAGATTTGTACATATTTACAAAGTCTAAGGTAGAGACACAACAACATGACCAATATCATGAATATATAGAATCAATTACCTCATGTAATACAGAGTCTGCTCCAATGATGTAATCTGTATGTGACTTTAGTCCTGCCAAATCAGCTGGTGAGTTCGGATTAACCTCCTAGAAATGACAATACTAATGGTGTACTCTTATCAAATAAAGAATACAGATAATCATAGAAATCTGGTAGACATTGCAATGTTCTAATTTGTCATTATTCTTAATTATTCCAAAAATATACCATTCTCATGTAATTGTTTCAAATTATGAATTTTGCCAGAAATGTTATTAAAACATGACTTTTTTTTCTTTTTGTCAGTTGATTTTTGTGCTGCATGTCATTCTGATGAGTCAAACCCATTCCAACTGATATTTAGTTTGTTCTTAAGTTGTGCTGTTACACCACTTGCTGTCTGTTATAAAACTGTTTTTATCATAAATCAGGCCATTTTATATTTTTTTTAAATGTTTCACTTTTTTAAGTCGTGCCCTTTTATCTATATAGCTTACAATACAGTATTCGTTTTGCTCACTGTTAACCTAGAGTTGCTTACAACCATGTAGTTTGGTCTTTGTTGAATAATTTTTTCATTGGCAATCATACCACATCTACAATTTCTTATATCTATTTGATATATCCACAATTCATACCTACCAACACATGCCAAACATTTTCATTGGCTCCTTCAAACGAACAGAATCTGAAATAGAGTAAAATAATCTATTCGTCTTCTAAAACCAAATGTGCTAATATGTTATTTGGGATCTTCACAGGGGATATATATCATGTATATGAGCTCACATTTTGAGACTATTTCCAAGAAAACAAGTTAAGATTTCAAATATGTTTGCCAATGAAAAAGTTTGTTTTCAGTTAATATCTTTAATGATGTAAATGACATTTCAAATTTTTTTCTGATTAAAACACAAATGGAAGTGTTTAACGACCTTGACTGGATATACATCCCTCGCACGGTCGGACTCTGATTAAAAATCAGTGCTTGTGAGCATTAATAGTAAAGACTTTATTCATTAAACATTACATTGTATTATGCATTGCAGATTATCTTCTTTGTCCATAATTGTAGTTCAATGGTTCAACTACAATTATGGACAAAGGAAGATAACTCCGATTTTAAATATTACTTTAACAATATGACACCATTAATTTCTTCAGAACAGATCTCTACTAGATTCATACACATTCTATCAGCATAAACTTTAGCAGCAGAATTTTTTTTCAGTTTTGTATAGATTCTATTGGCCTGTAGTATAATTTATACATGCCTGGGCTGACTTGCATGTGGCAAAGCTAGAAAACTATAACTCTGCATTGAAACTACTGTATTATTCATACAAAATACAAAAAAAATTTATGAACTCTTACCTGATACTAACACCAAGAAGTCCTTCACCGCCCCAGTTATGACTAGGTATAATTGTAGCTTCTCTAACAGACTGGGTTTTACTGCTGTATACAACCATTTTTACTTCTTTCTCAATGTTTGCTCTCAATAAACTTTTCAATGTATCATCATCTTGATTCTGAAATGTAAAATTTTAATAATTTTTTCAATGTATCATCTTCTTGATCATGTCGATTCTGAAATGTAAAATGTTTAAAAGTGACAATCAAGCTAAAACTGAGAGAAACACTTGTAATTCAACGGATCTAAAATACACGAAGCAGGCCTCTGAAAGATCGGGAAATAAATAGGGAATGTGTCCATGGGGCACAGATGATGTCCCCCCGGCATATATATTGTTATAAAGGGACATAACTCTAGAAAAGTAAAAAGGACGCTACCAAAATTGAAACATAATCTGTGTTTTGTGGTAATAAGCATTGTGTAAAGTTTCATAATATTTGGTTGAGGCAAACTAAAGTTAGAGAACAGAAACCAATTTCAGGACGCAAGGACGGACAAGGGTAAAACTTATTAAAGGCCCCCTCCGTTACAGCGGGGGCATAAAAACATACACAACTCATCACGGTTGATGTGCTGACCAAATATGAAGCCCCGCTGTTCAGTTAAAATGGAGAAATGTGTGATGATTGAACAATGAAATGATCTTTTTTGTTAAAATAAAGTAAAAATCTACATGATTGCCATTTATAATTTTTTTTCTGTCCTTTTTGTTTTTAAAAACTATTCAACAAGGCAATCAAGTTGACTTGACAAGCTGCCAGTACTGAATAATTTATGAATAGGAAAGATAGAACATATAAGTAACTACAGATCTAATTATATAAATTGTCTAATTTTGACATTTTTTTTCTCTCAAAAGTTATTTACTTTGCTAATACTACATGTAATTACTCTAAACCCACCAGTCTTGTATTTCCAATAGCAACAATGAAATCAAAGAAAGCCTCTAATCCAGCCTTATGTCCTGGTGATCCTGGTTGTACCTACAAAATAAGATTACTCTTATTACATTTAATTTAAAAGCTCTTTTGAAATAACATAAAAGCCATGTATATAATTAGTGGAAAGGATAAAATTATCATGATACAATACATTGTATATACTAAATTTGGTCTTGTATTGTTTGGAGTTTTTTATGCCAAAATAAAAATGGCCAGACAGGGGTGCGGATTATAAAGTACTATAAGCAAGCCTCACACTTCTTCTTGATGCTGTTAGTGGTTCAGTGAAGTACCCTGTGTACAGTGGATCTGCACCTGTATATGCATACCATGTACATTACGACTGAATGCATGTTCTATTTGTATTATTCCATCTGATCAAAGGGAACAATCTTGTATCAGTTGATGTGTAAAATCTACATCATATAATCCTAGCTATTAAGTCACACATGTAGCATACATGTACATGAAATTATAACATTTTCACTAACAATGATCTATAAACATGATATATGTACTGTGATGTGGAAATGACAATCTCCAGTCTAAATATTTTTGAATGTATTAATGAGTGTATTAAGTTTGGTGTACATTGTATACTATATCATATGGGTAAACACATGAAACATGGTAAAGTCAAACACGTACATGACATAAGAAAGTCAAATTTGTCCCAGTTCTGGCAGTAAAACTTTTAATTGATATCTGTTAAATGTTTTGCTACTTTTCAAACCATATTTACATGGGTAGAAAGGGTATGTTGAAGCAGTAATATGTTCAAAATGTTTATGTCAAAACATGTGACTTTTGAAGTTATTGCAGCATGACCAATAAAATTTAGTATGTTTATACTAACATAAACGTGATAACTACTCTGCTCAATTTCATATTATGCATATGTTTGTCCGACACTAAAATCCTCTAAAATAACTGTTCCTCATTTAATTTAAAAGATTAATATCTGATACATGTTACTGTAAATCATAATTACATGAATAAAAGGGAAGCAAAAATTGATTTTTCAAATGTTGCCTCAACCAAAATAATCTGTTGCAGTAATCATGGCAATACATATTTGTTTTTTTGTTTTGTTAAAACAGTTTTAAACATAAACATGATAAATCAGGCAGTTAGTTTTCTCATTTGAATAGTTTTATATTTGCCATTTCGAGACCTTGTTTAGCTTAATACATGTATGCTGCAAGGGTTTGCTCATTGTTGAAGGCTGTTTGATAGTGTTGGATAATCGGTTGAAATTACCAACAGATTATCTAATACTATCAGTTGACAGCAACCAACCAACTATCGGTTATAATCGCATCATTATACTTGCCCTTTTTTAAATGAAAACATGCAATTAGTCACATAAATGACAAATTGTACATGTCTAACATGTCTAATGCATATATTCATATCATCATGATCATTGCAGAATTTTATATGTTCATATTTGATCTTTTTTTTTCCTTTCATATTTTAATAAGCAATTAAAACAGTGAATCAATTAGAATACAGATTCAGATTGAACATATTTTGTCTTATAATTACAACATTCATTACCAAACAATGACACTAAAATTTCTAAATTTCAATGGTATTACTTACATTATAATTTCAACTACATAGCTGTATAAAAATTTGAATGCTTCTCATTAAAAAGAGATATATATATAAAGTATTTAGATTTAAGCATGTCATGCATGTTAAGCAATTTAAAATTAATCAAAAAATAAAACAATGCATTTGCATTGAAATATATACATTTAACTAAGGGGGTCCAACCAATGTCTGTTAATTCATGTAGAATGCTTTTTTTAACACTTTTGTGATCATTATTCTTCTGTCAGCTGTGTCATTTGTGTGTCTGTACTTATAATTGCAAGAATGCTGAAATTCTTACAAAGTTGATCTGTATCCGATCCGTGATTCGTATATATTTCAATGGCGAACAACCCCGGGAAAATTTACAAAAATAAACGATGTTTGACAAGCAATTTGGAAAGGAATATGACGTTTTAGACGTAACCTGGTAACAAATGGATGAAACATTAACAAAAGGTAATTAACACCACATTCTAATGTAATAAAAAAATTATTTTGACTAAAATCATAACGATTTCATGTACGCTCTCAAGTAACAAGTACCGGAATTGAAAGAGAGTTTTTCTTAAAAGTTATTTAAAAAACATACAATCAATCTGTATAGCCAATGCTTTTACCACGTTTATAAAAGAAAGAAATTGGTTATGTCTTTGATTATAGGACGTTTGAAATCATTACTGTCATCAATTGATATTTTTAGTTACAATTTGTTTGTCTGCATATGTAAAATGCAAACTGGAAACAGAGTGGAAGTTGATATGCTAAAAGTCCAAAACAAGGGTACGGAAACAGTCATATTTGCCAGTCATGACCTTATTTGAAAGCTACATGTATTTGTCATAAACGAAAAATTGGGATTTAGGACAAATTTTATTTTTTTAACAGAAATAATTTCGGTCATTTAATTGAGATTAGGTTTCTTAATCACTATTTTGCACTTGTTTTATAATCCCTTTCCTGTAATAAAACTGCCACTCCAGTATAGTCCTGAGGCCCTCCTAATAACTATACTAACGCCTCCGGGAAATAGTGCAGAGATGCAAACAGTTTTTTTTTTCTGTCAGACATTGGGGCCTACAGGGTAGTAAGTTTTGCCAGACTCATCAAATTTTTGCCAGACCTATATTTTCACTCAAAAATAAAATGAGACGCTTTTGAATAATTAATTTTTATTTTGTTATATATTATTGTAATCTGTGATTCATATTCATAAACATTGTAGTTTATTCAATATATTAATACATAAATGATGACCCAAGAGTTATTCCTCACAGGAGTACTTTGACACAAGATAACCTAATTGTTCTTACGCCAATAATTGGCATAAGAACAATTAGATCAAAAACAAAGACAGTGGCAAGCTACATTTGTATGTCAAAACGAATAAATATGTTCATACATTAACTAAAATGAAGAAAAAATCACTCTTAGAAAACTAAAATAATACTTGTTTTTGTTTAATTTTATAATTTACTTAAATCTGGTCATTACAACATTAGTTGTCCCTTAATAGAACTTTTGGTTTTCAGTGCTTTTTAATTACATAATTGATTTTGCCATCTATTGTTCCAACTGTTCATGCACCACTGATGTGTCATATGGAGAGGAAACTCGTTTTTTCATACTAACAATGTTCTCGTTATGGCAACTTATTCGCGCCATGGACACATGATTTTCTGTCTGGACGCGCCATTGCATGAACCGTGCGTCAGAGGAACGCGTCTGATAACACTTGCTGAGTCTTGTAATCATCAGAATTATCCCTCAGTAATCAAAAAGAAGCCGAAAACATGCTTCTACTCAATTTTTTTACCGGAAATTTACTTCGTTTTCATTGCTATGTGTAATAATAAATCCCTAGAAATACGAAAATAATTATGATCACATGACTTACACTAATTGGATAAACGCAAAGAAGATCGAAATATGTTTACATCAGCATGTTTACCTATTACCGGCAACAAATGTGTCATTAGAACTTTCAGTTTTCAATGCTTTTCAACTACATTATTAATTTGGAAGCCAAGGTTACAAGAACCAACAGAAATTTAAATTTTGACGGCCCCAAACAGTAAAAATGTTTGCCGGTCATTGGGTCTGACACAAAGACGTCATTTGCCGGACCCTCTAAAATTCTGCCCCCCAGGTCCGACGATAAGTTGCATCACTGATAGTGGCTAATGATTGCTCATCACTTTTTACCAATCCATTAAGCGGTTTTCTAGAAGAAGACATTTGTATATATTTCACATAGGGTCCTTTGTTAAAAGAAGTCCCCCGTTGGCAGCCATCTTGGTTGATTGATTGTCTACAAAGTAACAACACTTGGCCAGCACCTCATTAGGAACATTCATGCAATGCTTGACTTCATTCCATTCAGTGGTTTTCTAAAAGAAAACATTTGAATGTATTTCCCATAGGGTCCTATGTTAAACTAAGTCCTTGCTGGCGGCCATCTTGGATGATGGATCGCCTACAAAGTTACATGTACAACACTTGGTAAGCACCTCATGAGGAACATTCATGTCGTGTTTTATTTCATTCCATTTAGTGGTTCTCTAAAAGAAGACATTTGTAAGTATTTCCCATAGGGTCTTATGTTAAACTAAGTCCCTCTCTGGCGGCCATCTTGGATGATGGATTTGCTACAAAGTAACAACATTTGGCCAGCACCTCATTAGGAACATTCATGCCATGTTTCGTTTCATTCCATTCAGTGGTTCTCTAAAAGAAGACATTTGTATGTATTGTCCATAGGGTCCTATGTTAAGCGAAGTCCCCCGCTGGATGCCATCTTGGATGATGGATCGGCTTTAAAGTAACAACTCTTGGTCAGCACCTCATAAGGAACATTCATGCCATGTTTGGTTTTATTCCATTTAGTGGTTCTCTATAAGAAGACATTTGTATGTATTGTCCATAGAGTCCAATGTTAAACGAAGTCCCCCGCTGGCGGCCATCTTGGATGACGGATCGGCTACAAAGTAACAAACACTTTTAAGGTAATAAAATTAAAAAGCGGGTGAGTTCCTGTCAATTTGATAAACAAAACCAATCCTGGAAATGAATCCCGATTACTCGTAGTTTAATTTTGTCACTTCAAATTTTAATTTCGTCTTCAAAATCGAAAGAAACGTTAGCAATGTCTTAGAAATTAACCATTTCAATTTTAAACCGTTTTTTTTTGTTGGAAAATGGTAAGAAAATTCACAAAGTAAATGCGATGAAACAGTCAATACAAGTTTTTTTATGCTAGGAATCTAGTGTGATATCGACAATTTGAAAAAAGGGCACCGACTTTTAAATCCTCTCAAAATGACCGAAATTGTGTGAAAAAATTTCTCGATCCTTGGTCCAGAAACTATTAGAACGACAATCAATTGAACAAAATCCCAATTGATTATCGCCATCACCAGGCCCAACCAACTATTTCCGACTTAATCCGATCAGCGGAAGAACACTGTCTGGTGACCTATATTTATTAACTTCGACATCCTTTGTTCTCTGGTGGAAAGTTGTCTCATTGGCAATCATAACACATTTTCTTATCTTTATAAAGTGTCAGTTTCCACTCATTGGCCATTTCAACGTACAGGCTTCATTGAACATTACATAGAACAGAAGTACCTGTGCAATTAGGTTTACAAATGTGTGTTTTTACGAAATTTCTGTTACTATTAATTATTTTATACCTAACGAGATCAATAAGGCTGATCATCTTATAATCACATTAAAGATAACTTATTTTTAGTCTAATATTTTTTATTGCATAGTTAACTGATTGTTACATTCCTTGATGCTGATTTTCACAAATCTAGCAGGGTTGCTTAATTACATTTATACATTTATTAGAAAACACAGTCACATGAAAAGATACATTCCTAAAATCAAAAAAACAACAAATATCTAGCTAAACACAGCAATAAATTAAATATATGAGCTGGGTCAGATAGAAATTGACCTTACGCAAGTGCATGTAAATGATGTATACATCATGTATAAGACTTAAACTGATTTTGGAACATTCAAATACGAAATAAAAGATATGGTCTGTTGTGTAGGGTTCTTATAACATGTATAACAACTAAATTTTCAAAAAGTTACAGACTATCAGCATGATCAGTAGAGATTTTTTTCAATTCAAAATAGGTTAACAGATGTATTGATCTTCATTTGCATAAGCATGATAAGGTCAATTTCTATCCTATGCAGCTCATGTGATGAGTGGTCCAAGTTGTCTTCCAAACTTTTCATGTGTAGTCCGAGTTGTCTTTTAGACTGGTTCAAGTTATCTTTAACCATTTAAAAAATTGTCCAAGTTGTTTTAAAATAGGTCTGAGTTGCCATGTATTCATGTAAACATGGACATATTTTTCAGTACTATGCAATGAGCACCTAAAGTTGCTAAACTATCTGTCCGACCACTTGAAATAGTAAACAAATTCAACTTTTGAAAGATGGCAATGGTGTTTTTGTTCAAAAGTAATGTTGCATTGTATGTTCAGGTTGATACATGTACCTCCGTTATTCCGTGCTCACCTTGAAAGCTACAAGGGGACTGGTATCCATGAACACTCCCTAACAGGATTAATGGAGATGTATCACTAACATATGTACAACCCACCACAAAGGACAAATCCCAACCCAACACCACGGGAGTGCTAGGACACAGGGAAGTCTCTTATTATGATAGAGGAAGCCGAAGTACTCGGAGAGAACCACCGGACAACTCAGCGGGAACAGACAAACCAAAGAGATATCTGAAGATTGATCTCCTGGTCAAAGTCAGGGTCCACTTCGACCAACTGAGGCTTGCAAAGTGCCCATTCTAGTATAAACTTCGGTATGGGTTCCAGAGATGTGTGTGGGAGGGTGAAAATCACCCTTCTAATGTACTGAAATTTCCATCCCCCTTCCCCGAGTCAGAATCGAACCCCGGACCTTCAGCACAGTAGCCATCGGTCTTAACCCTACCACCAACCCCCCCCCCCCCATTTTTAAATACTGTATTGTAATTGGCAACCTGTCGTAGCTACACATGACTCCACCAGACTACATGAATGAGTTTTATATTTACAGGACATTTTGTCTGGTAAACAACCTAGCTTTACCAGACCGAATGAAATTTTACCAGACCATTTTTTTAAATCTTATTGTATGTTATCCGACAAAATACAACAAAGTTTATATGACTTGTTGTGCCCTACTCCTCTCCAAAGTGCACAAAAACAAAATCATGTGGCAAGAGTGTATATTTTGATAAAATTTGTGCACAATTGCTTGAATGCATTTCAGTGATAAAGAAAAGTAATGTCACATGACATGAAAATTATTTGTGAACTAAAAATAATTAAGAGTTTCTGTATAAAATATTTCCTGTTTCTTCTTTCTTTTTCATACATTGTATATCTCTTGATTTTCAATTCTAGTGTTTATATTTCATCATAGCTGTATTTTGTGACCTGCTTGGATTTTTAAAATTTATTCACGTTATTTATTGTATTTGAAAGGCAAACCCTGGAATAAGCCTTATCCGTTCCCGGAATCTGATCTGGTACTGTCTACATTTCCGGTTGATGGCAGCCATTGTCTGTTGTTTTTGTCAGTCAGATATGTTTTTAATCGGATTTACACATTACTTGTTGGCAATTTTTGGCATAAAGCTAGCAGTTAAACAAAATAAACATCGCTGTCATGAATAATAAAGATGAAATGAATTTTGAGATCGTTTGGGAATTTTGTAGAATGCTAGAAAAATCCATGAAAAAAACAACACCGGACATTCGGACCGGAATTCAACAAAATTTTACCAGACCAATCCATTATTCACCGGATTTGTCCGACGAATTTCGTGTAGTCTGCACCACTTGACTACAGTGTACAAAATGTCACAAATATCATGCATATTTTGCTGAATGCTTCCTAAACTGTAGTCATAAGTTGCAGGAAGGCATCCAAGCAAACAATCATTAATAGCTTTCGAAAACATCAGTCACCTTAAAGTTTTCCAGGTGTAGTGTTTGTGTGCACTCAGGAGTTAATTTCGGGATGTAAACACGGCCATATTTTCTTTGCTTATAGTCCGAGATTTCTCTGACGTCCAACGGCTGTTTTGCCAGACAAGCTGGGGCCGTGGGACGTCAGAGCTCGTCCCATATCAAAAAGTGGATATTTGCCCGTCCAAAATAGATGCGCTGCTTCGTCGCTTCTGGTGCCAACGGACGGCCTTGGAATTATATAAATCGGGTATCAATTTGTTCATTTTTCATTTATCTCTTCATTTATGTAAGTTTCACCTACCTGCCACCCTTTATTTTCTCATATTTAGACAGTTTTCACAGTGACCCAACGTTTCTGGCATTTTGACTTTCATTTTGAAAGATTGTCATGTGATCACGAGAAAAAAGTAAGGCACAATGGACTATGGGAAATGATGTATGCATATGACCCTAGGTCAATATGAATATATAATCTAACACCTCGCTCATTTACGATGCAAGCAATATAAATATCCGAGAGCTTCCGAATGTTATCGTGGTTGGCACTAAATGCTAAATACCGATCTCCTGTAAAGGAGGTGAAAAATCGTGGTTGGCAACTAAATGTTAAATATCGATCTCCTATAAAGGAGGTGAAAAAAGTATAAATATTTGCATATTTGAGTCTCGAGGTCGCAAAATCTCTCGTAACATTTGAAAATAAAAGTAAAAATGTCTGAATCGATGGGTCACTGTGAAAACTGTCTAAATATGAGAAAATAAAGGGTGGCAGGTAGGTGAAACTTACATAAATGAAGAGATTAATGAAAAATGAACAAATTGATACCCGATTTATATAATTCCAAGGCCGTCCGTTGGCACCAGAAGCGACGAAGCAGCGCATCTATTTTGGACGGGCAAATATCCACTTTTTGATATGGGACGAGCTCTGACGTCCCACGGCCCCAGCTTGTCTGGCAAAACAGCCGTTGGACTTCAGAGTAATCTCGGACTACTTTGCTTAGTGCCAATAGTGGACGTAAACCATATGTCTGACCATAAGAAATGGCAGACAATTTCAACTTTAGGAAGCCGTCAATGGTGTTTCTGTACACGGGTATGGTCGCATTGAGGAATAAAATATTGAGATTGGCAACACGTCGTAGCTACGCATCATGATTCAATCAGTGTCATGCATGTTTTGTGGATGTTTTTTTTATGGATTTTCATTAATCCTGAAAAGTGACATCACTTTCAAAGTTTTACCCTTAGAACATGGTAACCCTCTGTCCCTCCACCTGGAATCTCTGTACTAAAGGCTGCACCCATTGACTCGGTTTCTTAAACCAAATAGATTTAGAAGCCGGTTGACGTTATAAACAAGATGGCCTCGACGTGGCATTCATTGCATTCTGGGTAAACTTACTTTCGGTATCTAAAACTTGGACCGATTTCGGATACGGAATAAACATTTTCCGGCAAAGAAAAGTAACACACACTTGTCAAATTAAATCAAATCAAATTTATTTAAAATCGATAAAAACGTTATTGAAAGATCCAAGAGTGGAAGGGTGAGACGGGTTTGGAATCCCCCTTTTTCAATTTTTTAAAATTATGTGAACGTTTCATGGTATTACGGGGGGTTTCTGATCCTTTAAGTTCAAAATGGCTGGATCCGCGCCGAAAAAGCATAGCCTAAGCATAAAAGATTTATTTAAAGGCGGGTAGACATATAACAATACAACATAAGCTCTGTAGAGCTTTTATCCGACATACATATATATGTGTAACAGGAGGGTTAGGCAGCTATATGTTGCCGTACCCCGATGTATACCGTAAGGGATCTGAATTTACCAACCAAAACACAATAAGGCCAAATATATTAAGTCCTTTAGGTTAACTGACGACAGACCTCAAACAACATAGTTAACCTACGGACGTAATCAAGTGGTGTTCCCAGACAACAAGTCTATATCTCGGTAATTCAGTCAGTTCGTTCCGCTGGGATCTGAGCTTGTATTATACTGGCAATAAGACTCAAGAATTTGTGAAGTTCTTATACTTTATGATAATACAAAACATCGTTATTTCAACAAGTACAATAGAGGGGGTGACACAGGGGTGCTCATTTCCCAAATCCTTCTTTTTGGGGGAAATTTTTCCCACTTCCCAAATTTTTTAGATCATTTTTCCCACTTCCCACTTTTTTTCCAATTCTCCCAAATCCCAAATAATGGTTTTCCATTATATCCTATTTGGAGTCATCCAGAGCTGTCTTCTTGTCTTGTTTGTTCTTCAGTATGTACAAAACTTACGAATAAACACATAACTGTCTTACCTATACTTTACTGGTCCAGATTCTTACTACAACATCAAGAAACAATGTCATTTAAGGCTTTTGTGAAAAAAATATTGGAAAAAAAACACCAATGGTAAAGCACTCCTGGATGACTATGAAAATAAATGCCTGCAATGCTTAAAGCAACTCCCGTTTAGTTAACAGAACACAAAACCAACAAAACACAAAACCAGGGAATCTTCATATCAGACACAAAGTGTGACACAATTGATTAACAATTGTAAATTGATGAACAAGAATTACTGGTGTACACGCATGACCAATAATGATTACAATTGGTACGTCGATACTACTGTCTGCTGAAGTATGGAATTTAATTATACCCCGTGACACCCCTCATTATTTTTCTCTAGAAGCCATGGAATAGGCCAACCCCTTGTTTTTTCCCCAAATGTTTCAAATTTCGAACCCGTTTCAGATTTTTCAACATAATGCCACTCGAAACCTTGCGAAAATTATGCACCTGTTTCTCCTCTACAAGACCTATATAGCCATACCCCCTGACACTGTCATTTTTTTTTATCTAGAAGCCATGGAATAGGCCACCCCCCTGTTTTTTTCCATTTTTTTTCAAATTTCGAGCCCTAGTTTCAGATATTTGAACATAGCGCCACTCGAAACCTTGCGCAAACGATGCGCAAAGTTCTCCTCTACAAGACCTTTATAGCCATACCCCGTGACACCCGCCTCATTATTTTTCACTAGAAGCCATGGAATAGGCCACCCCCTCTCCCCCCTCTGTTTTTGTTTTTTTTTCCAATATTTCAAAATTTCGAGTCCTAGTTTCAAATTTTCAAATATAGCGCCACTTGAAACCTTGCGCAAATTATGCGCAAGTTTCTCCTCTACAAGACCTATGCAGCCATACCTCCTGAGACCTCTCATTATTTTTCTCTAGAAGCCATGGAAAAGGCCACCCCACCCCTTTTTTTAATTTTCAAATTTTGAGCCATAGTTTCAGATTTTTTAACAAAGAGCCACTCGAAACTTTGCGCAAACGATGCGCCTGTTTTTCCTCTACAAGACCTACATAGCAAATAAATCAAGAGTACTAGTAAGTAATATTTTGGCTCAAAATGGACTCGGACTTCTTTTAAACTGAGTTTTACTGTGCGTATCGCTGTGTGTTTCTTTGTTCTACATTGGCTAATGGTATAGGGGAGGGTTGAGATCTCACAAAACATGTTTAACCCCGCAGCATTTTTGCGCCTGTCCCAAGTCAGGAGCCTCTGGCCTTTGTTAGTCTTATATGTTTTTTTTAATTTTAGTTCATTTATATGTTTTGGAGTTTAGTACTATGACGTCCATTTTCACTGAACTAGTACCCATTTTTATATAGGGGCCAGCTGAGGACCACCTGCGGGTGCGGGATTTTCTCGCTGCGTTGAAGACCCATTGTTGGCCTTCGGCTGTTATCTGCTCTTTGGCCGGGTTGTTGTCTCTTTGATATATTCCCCATTTCCATTCTCAATTTTATATATTTTTTTCTATCATTAAAAGTTTCATATCTGCTAATAATGTTCTATTTTTTCAGGGAAGGACTACTTTTACGTTCTAAATTGAAGTGGTGGCATTGGTGGTCAATCCGTTGACAGGTGTAGATTTACTGTGGTACTGAATGTTACCATGAGAAGGGGTGTGGCTTGTTTAATAAGCAAAAGTGGTAAATCCCATTTCATGATAGAGATGTAAATTGCAATTTCTGGACGGAATTTCTACCTTTTAAATATGTTTTTTGAACGGTGGCCGATGCTGTCTTTTAATTTTTCAGTTTTTAGATATATCGCCTTATTGTTCGCTAGTTATTGTTCCTTAGCTTTAGTCTGGTTCATGACATTGCCTATCCAGGCAACCTCAGGCCATTGCTTATCATTTGTACTAATTGTGGACTAAAGCTTTGTCGTAGGGAAATTTTTACGTATTAAAGTTGGGAGAAGGTAGGATTTCCATACGCCAAGTTTGGACCTCACATTGTTATTTGTAGTAGTATCGTAAATTTACCCACCTGGGTCTTTGGATCCAGGCCATTTTCTAACATTTGTACCTAGCGTAGACGAAAGCTTTTGCCGTAGAGAATTTTAAACGAATCAAAGTTGGGAGGGGTATGGTCTCCATATCCCAACTTTGGACCCCAGTTGAAGATGTTCCTTAACTTTACCCACCTGGGTCTTTGGGCCCAGGCAACCTCAGGCCATTGCCTATCATTTGTACTCATTGTGTACAATCGCTTTGCCGTAGGGAACTTTTTACGTATTAAAGTTGGGAGAGGGTAGGCCGATCTCCATACCCCAACTTTGGACCTCAGTCGTAGAAGTGCCGTAAATTTACCCACCTGGGTCTTTGGATCCAGGCAACTGTAGGCCATTTTCTATCATTTGTTACTAGCGTAGACAAAAGCTTTACCGTAGGGAATTTTAAACGATTTAAAATTTGGAGGGGTATATTGTCTCCATATCCCAACTTTGGACATCAGTTGTAGAAGTTCCGTAACTTTACCCACCTGGGTCTTTAGATCCAGGCAACCTCAGGCCATTGCCTATCATTTGTACTTATTGTGGATAAAAGCTTTGTCGTAGGGGAATTTTTACAAATCGAATTCGGGAGGGGGTATGGTCTCCATAACCCACCTTTGAACCTCAGTTGTAGAAGTTCCGTAACTTGACCCACCTGGGTCTTTGGGTTTAGGCAACCACAGGCCATTGCCTATCATTTGTTTCTAGTGTGGAGAAAAACTTTGCTGAAGTGATTTTTTCTCAAGTTAAAGTGTGATGGGTTAGAGTTAGGGGACACCACCAATCAGACACATCATATCCATTCATTCACCCTAAAACTTTATGGAAATGTCTTCACAGTCTGAACCCAAAAGTTAAAAATACACCATATGAATTAGCCACAGAAGATAACAATACAACTAAAAGTAAAAAATCAATAGCAGAAACTTTTAATAACTTTTTCACTTCCTGTGCTGAAAAATTAAGAGAACAAGGAAGTTATACACCTGTAAACAAAGCAGATTTCAGTAATCTTGGTAAATTTGTTAAAAATAAATTACATAAACATGATAAATTTTCTATACCACCAGTGATCATGAATGAGCTATTTAATGAGTTAACAAAACTTGATATAAACAAAGCATCTGGTATGGATAATATATAGGACCAAAAATCCTAAGATTAAGCGCCCCTGTTATTGCATCACCTCTCACATACATATTTAACAGAATGATAGATACTGGTATATATCCTTCTTTACTGAAGAATGCTAAGGTAACACCAGTTTTCAAGGATGGTGACAAGCTTTTAGCAACAAATTACAGACCTATATCTGTTCTTCCAACTTTATCAAAATTAATAGAAAGGCATGTTTCTAATAACATGTACAAATACTTATCTAAACTTAAACTTTTACACCCTACACAATCTGGTTTCAGGCCGCAGCATTCTTGTCAAACTGCACTTATTAATATCATTGACAAATGGTTGCAAGAAATGAATGATGGTAATTTAAACCTAGCAATTTTATTAGATTTTAAAAAAGCTTTTGATTTGGTAGATCATGACATTCTTTGTTTAAAGCTTGAAATTTATGGATTTAGTGAGGCTACTGTTAGTTTTTTCGAGTCATACCGGAATAACAGAAAACAGCAGGTAAACATTTGTAATGTTTACTCTGAACAACAACATGTAAAATTTGGTGTCCCCCAAGGTTCTATACTTGGTCCTCTATTGTTTGTGCTATTTATAAACGACCTTCCCTTATGCATTGAAAATTGTGAAACAGACCTATATGCTGATGACACCACTCTTCATAAATCAGGGAAAAACATAGAAAATATACATGATGATGTTCAAGAAGATTTATACAGGGTTGAAGAGTGGTGCAAAATGAATAACATGTTCATTAATGCAAATAAAACAAAATGTTTGGTTACTGGAACAAAGCAGAAACTATCAATTCAGACTTATCAACCAAACTTAATAATAGATTCAAAAGTATTACAAAATTCTTCATGTGAAAAATTATTAGGTGTTAAAATTGACAGCACACTTAACTGGAGAAATCAAAATGACCAAGTTTGTGCTAATATATCATCCAGAATATACCTCCTTTCTAAAATAAAGAAATTTTTAGATATAAATGCAAGGAAAATATATTGCAATGGGTATATTCTGCCCCTGATTGACTACTGCTGTATTATTTGGGGTGAATGTAAAAATGAAGGGATAGCAAGAATTTTAAAACTCCAAAAAAGGGCAGCAAGATTAATTCTAGATGCAGTTCCTTTATCCCCCTCAGCCCCCTTATTTAAAGAACTTGGGTGGATGACAGTTGACAATAGAATAAAATACCACAAATATTTACTTCTATATAAATGTATGCGTATGGAAGCACCAATGTACCTAGTTCAAAAGTTTAAACTGAAATCAGATAATAATCCTTACTCCCTGAGAGGCGTCACTCAAGGTAATCTGATAGTTCCTAAGCCAAAAGCTGAGCTATTTAAGAAATCTTTTGTTTATTCTGGATCAGTGTTATGGAATGGACTACCAAACAAAATGCGTAAAGCTCAAAACACTTATACTTTTAAACAAAGTATCAAGAAGAACTTAACACAGTCCTGATAAGATTATGTTTTCTACAATGTATTTGTATATTCTTTTATTTATATTTGTATTTGATTTTTTGACTACATGTACATCTTGAACAGCCTTATATCTTATCATGTTAGTAGTATTACATTGAACTAATTGACTGTAAATTAACTATGTTTAAACCATTGTCGTGACGTCAGCCTATTCATTTACCGTGGATTCTTTTTCTAGAATCAACGCTTCCTAAATCCGTCGCTGAAATGGACTCACCAAATTATATTCAATTGTTTCCTTTGTGTGCCTTATTTCATTAAGTTTGAATTGGCTAATTTACTGATTTCTGCTCACTAATGGAATCAATTTAAAAACTTACCTTTAATTTTTGTAATTTCTATATGCCTTTACTGGGAATCGAACCCGTCCTTGAAATCTGTTATGTGTTACTGACATCAACATATCGACGAAACCTCTCGGCTACCAATAGGTTACGATTTAACTGTCTATATTATATATATAAATGATCATAGGATATACATCGGTACAACGGACACACAGGGCTTGTACCTTTATATATACATAATAGGCAAACGTGTAGTATAAGTTGGTAGCCGCGAGGTTAACATGGTTAAGATCAATGAGTTAAAGGTAGGGACTTGTCGGTTTAGGTTCGAATCCCTGTATTATCTTTGTTGTCCCTATTCTCTTGTTTTCCTGTTTTTTTTCCTTTTTTTTCCTTGTTTTGTGTGTTATTATGAATAGTTTTGTAATAATAGCGAGTTTTACCGTTTATTTTTGGATTCTTATATTTGCTATTTCACATATTTGAAACGAAAATGATTACATTCTATTTGTCTATTTTTGTTTTATAAAATCAATACAGTATGATTTAATCTGTTTTACTACATAATTTTAGAAATGTTTATTCGCATATTCCTAAAATCGTGATGTGCCTAGAATTAGGCTTCTTGCTAGAAATTTCTGTAACATACTTATTATTTATACTTTATGTATGCTCTTTGGTCGGGTTGTTGTCTCTTTGACACATTCCCCATTTCCATTCTCAATTTTATTAGAAATAAGTTCGAATATGTCTTATTTTGTAAAAACATATACTATTCAGATGCCTGATAATATGAAGATCTTTAAAGGCAGACGTGTTATGTTATATTTGTATTTTTTTAACCATTTAATTGTGATATTAGATTTATTAATGCATCGTTGGACACGATAAAAAGGTTATTTAAACTCACTTACAATACCTTCTAATTAAGAATAGGCTTTAATTTTGAAAAGACATTAACACAATAGTTTAAGTTATAGATACAATGGATAAGCGTTGATTCATGAAAAACAAACCATTCGCCCTCCGGGCTCATGGTTTCTTTTTCAAGAATCAACGCTTATCCATTGTATCTATATAACGTAAATATCTGTTTTTTGATTGTATTGTAATTTGTATGTGAGGGCCTCAGGGAAGATTAGTTTATTGTAACTAACTGAGTTTACCCTCTTTAAATAAAGAATTTATTATTATTATTATTATTATTCATGCATTTTCGCCATTCTTTTGTTTTTTTAAATTTGTTTTGTGGGTTTTTCCACATCCCACATTATGGTCATATCCCACTTCCTTCTTTTTTTTCCTTCTTTTTCCCAGATCCCACTTTTTTTACCCCCTAACTCGCGTTTCGTCTACATAAGACTCGTCAGTGAAGCTCAGATCAAAATAGTTATAAAGCCAAACAAGTACAAAGTTGAAGAGCATTGAGGACCCAAAATTCCAAAAAGTTGTTCCAAATACGGCTAAGGTAATCTCTTCCTGTGATAAGAAAATCCTTAGTTTTTTCCGAAAAATTCAAAGTTTTGTAACAGGAAATTTATAAAAATGACCATATAATTGATATTCATGTCAACACCGAAGTGCTGACTACAGGGCTGGTGATACCATCGGGGACGAAACGTCCACCAGCAGCGGCATCGACCCAGTGGTGTAAATAGTTATCAAAGGTACCAGGATTATAATTTAATACGCCAGACGCGCGTTTCGTCTACATAAGACTCATCAGTGACGCTCAGATCAAAATAGTATAAAATAGTAGTTCAACAATTGTAAAAGTTTATCAAAAGTTTATCAAAAGTTTATCAAAAATACTGATCAATTCATATCAACAAAAGTGTAAAAAGCTTCCGGATATGGCTATATACTATGGGTAGTACTGGCAAGGTAAATAAAATATGACATTTATATTTAACACAGAAGAACACGCTGTGGTAACAAGCTTTTAACTGAAACTAGTACTAAATTGTTTCAATTTACATTTTAAAGTCAACTTTAATAAAACAAAAAGGGCTAGATTTAAATACAAAAGTGGAGTGAAGTTGACATTTCGTACCTCCATTAGAACTCTAACCTAGAAAAGTAACTTTGTTTACACAAATTTTTCCATTAGATTAATATGAATGCAAACGATAATCGTGTATTTGTTTTCATCTATTAAAAAATTACACTTTATTGCACAACACCTCGATATATAACTATACAAAATTAATTGTACTTTAAGGTACAATTTTACTGTAAAGTTTACAAAGTTTTCTTAAATAATACTTCTAACATCTTTTGAATGAATTCAACAAGTTGCATGGAGTTTTATCTAGCATTAAAATAAAAAAATAACTAATAAAATAAGATGTAAATAAAATATTATCAATCTTACCTACAGATATACGAAAGGGAAATAATTTCAGTATTTAAAAAAGATATCGATTAAGCCATAACCACCACATTTGATTTTCTTTCTGATGCAACTGCTAAAGTTCAAATGCAAAAATGAAATCATCCCTTTGAAAATTTTATGGACGCCACTACGAGTTGGTTGACAATTATGAAATATCTGTTTTGCCAGATGACGACTGATAAGTTCCAATCGACGTAACCAAAATATCGTCATTTCTGCCTTGAATGTCACCTACCGAATAAGGCTTGGCACCGAGGTAGGAATTACACGAACCACAAGACGGGTGTCACATGTGGAACATGATCTGCTCACCCTTTTGGAGCCCCTGAGTTCACCCCAAATATTTTTAAGGGGGTTTGTGTTACTCAATCTGTAGTTTTATATGTTGTGTTTTGTATACTGTTGCTTGTCTTGTTCGTTTTTTGCCCGGCTTTGTCAGTTCGTTTTCAATTATGAGTTTGATGTCCCTTTGATATATTTCGTCACTCTTCAAGTAGTAAAAGTTTTAAAAATTGTAGATCATTGTAATTAAATGTATCATGATAACGATTTGGTTCAATATATATATCACCGTGAGCAAATTAAGTTATTTTCGCGGATATTTGTCTTATTGCGTTAATCTTCTTCACTTTACTTTGAGGCGATTTTTTTGCCGATTTTCATTACTGCAAGTTAATATCTTTAAAGTGAAATAATACCAA